GCTCTGGCTGCTATCCTGACGTGGCGCAGGGTTTTTGTGGTGGCGCAGGGTTTGGGGTGCGGCCAGTCCTAACGTCGCTTTCGGAACCAAAAAAACTATCAATCAAGACAGCAGCTGCCAGTGGGTGCTGCCCCTAGCTCTGGGGTATGGGGTGCTATCCTGATATGGCTCCTGCTGCTAGCCCGTGGGCTCTGGCTCCTATCCTGACCTGGCGCACGTGGGCTCTGGCTGCAATCCTGACGTGGCGCAGGGTTTTGGTGGTGGCGCAGGGTTTGGGGTGCGGCCAGTCCTAACGTCAGTTTCGGAACCAATAAAAAACCATGGCTCCTGCTGCTAGCCCGTGGGCTCTGGCTGCTATCCTGACCTGGCGCAGGGTTTGGGACGGGATTGGTTGCACGTAGCACAAGCGTAGCGCAAGCATACCTCCTCTGACGCGCTCCCCCTGCTTCGCCAGGCTCTGGCTGCTATCCTGACGTGGCGCAGGGTTTTGGTGGTGGCGCAGGGTTTGGGGTGCGGCCAGTCCTAACGTCACTTTCGGAACCAATAAAAAACTATCAATCAAGACAACAGCTGCCAGGGATTGGGTGCTGCCCCTAGCTCTGCGGTGCTATCCTGACATGGCTCCTGCTGCTAGCCCGTGGGCTCTGGCTGCTATCCTGACCTGGCACAGGCACAGGGTTTGAGGTTGGGACGTGGCACCTTGGCCGTGACGTGGGCTCTGGCTGCTATCCTGACGTGGCGCAGGGTTTTGGTGGTGGCGCAGGGTTTGGGGTGCGGCCAGTCCTAACGTCAGTTTCGGAACCAATAAAAAACTAACGTGCACCTTGGCCGTGACGTGGGCTCTGGCTGCTATCCTGACGTGGCGCAGGGTTTTGGTGGTGGCGCAGTCCTGACGTCACTTTCGGAAATAATAAACACTATAAAAAACGACAGCAGCTGCCAGGGATTGGGTGCTGCCTCTAGCTCTGGGGCTCTGGCTGCTATCCTGACCTGGCACAGGCACAGGGTTGGCTCTCCTGACGTGGCGCAGGGTTTTGGTGGTGGCGCAGGGTTTGGGGTGCGGCCAGTCCTATCGTGACTTTCGGAGCCAATAAAACTATAAAAAACGACAGCAGCTGCCAGGGATTGGGTGCTGGTCCTAGCTGTGGGGTGCTATCCTGACATGGCTCCTGCTGCTAGCCCGTGGGCTCTG